GAAAAGGGGGTGGTGATGGTATCCTTTCGTTGAGGGGTGCCGCGCGGATAAAGCGTGCCTCATTCTTGCCCTGATTACTGAGGCTGCTAGCCAAAGTTTGGGTATAGGGCTCAATAGTAGTAAACCATGAATGGTCTCTGTTGGATTTGCACCCCATAGTTCATGCTTGTCCGCAGTATTTGCTCGAGCTCCAAAACGTCGATTCACTTGAGCAATTTTTGGATGGACCTCTTCTTTCTCTTCCCATTCCTCTATCCTTGAGTTTACCCCCCTCCCCCCACTCCCCCCCCCCCCCCCACCCCCCCTTCCCCCCCCTCCCCGCACCCCCACCACCTACCATCACTGCCACAATTCTGACTTTATCACCTACCAGGATTGCCAACATTCCGGTGCTAAAAATGTCCCCTCACCCCACACCACTTTTTCCACTCCTCCTCCTCCTCCTTCCCCATAATCCGCCCAGTTGGAATGTGCTTTGTGAAACAAGCGCGAGAGAGCAGCTGATGACGTAGGCTTGCTGAAGGGTGCTCATGCGCAATGCCATTCATGTTCTCATAGTGTCTACACATCCGAGGTGATTGGCTGTGCATGTGCGCTGTGTCCCTTGCCCCCTCAGCAATCTGGACCAGAACGTTTTCAACACCTCCATTCCCTCTGACATCAGCAAAGTCACCGCCCTTCGCTACCTGTGAGCCACACTACTTGACGTGTGGGCACTGCCGTTTCTTTTCCTGTTGCCATTCCGACAGTTGAACTGATATGGACTGTGAGGTGGTGGGCCACTTTGCTGGTCCTCCATTTTGAGTTGTAATTTTACCATTTAGCTGGATGTAACGAAGACTGTGCTTAGCCTGCATCAGCGGAGCTCTGTGCTCGGAAGACACATAAGAAGTGACGTCACTCACCCTTTGTATCCCACATGGCAATCTGTGGTTGTGGCTGTGGCTCTTGCACTGTGGAGACTGTACAAGGCATTGGTGGTGGTGGGATTGTAGCCAGCCCTTTGGTGGAAGCATCATGCGCACGTGTGTGGAAAAAACGTGACCTTGTCATTTTCAAGATCTGAGGAAGGACGATGCCTGTGCCACGTACTGCGCCACGCAGTGTGTGAGTGCAACCACCATGGAAGTCCACCGGTTCTTGCACTCTATTCCAAGATTTACGTCAATCCCCTTCCTCTCCTTGTATCCTCCCCTGCCCTCTTACCATACAGGGTTCTTAAGAGGAACTCGTTCCATGGAAGCATTCCCTCCTCCATGGGCAACATGGCACAGCTCAAGGCATTGTATGTACCGAGACAATCATTGCCGTGCAGGATAGTGCTCTTGCTGCGCCTTGCTCCTCCCACCCAGACTCTCTCATTGTGGACTCCACCCGCTTCACAACAAGGCCATAATTCCGTTCCTCGATCTCTCTTGGCCCACGAGGCCTTGTTCTGTCGCTGGCAAGTGCAGGGCTCTAGATTTAAACCAGCTGAGTGGCTCCATACCCGACTCCTTCAGCCGCCTGCACAACCTCACTCATCTGTGATAGGCTCCACTTCTCTCAACCCTTGCACCTTGCCTTCGCTCTTGTGCCTATTGCTAGCCTTCTTCTGGGTCATTTGGCGAATCTCATTATCTATCGAAACGCGGCGTTTGGTTCGTCACACATGCGGGACTGGAGAGATGCACATGCAATCACAGTGCGTTGTGCCCAAGGTGCTTGCTCACAGAACCCATGCACATGGTATTGCATCATGTGTTGCATGCCGCCAGCTGCACTTGGGCGCTACACTTCGCACCTCTCACCCAGTTTCGTTCCGCCTGTTCTCAAAACGTGACCTGCAGCGATTTGAATGCGAATCAGCTGACGGGGTCCATTCCTGAGTGGTTTGGAACCCTCTCCAGTCTCAGACTTTTGTGAGTTTTGTTGCCCCAAGCCAACACGCACACACCTGTGTTTCTGCACACATCTTAGATGCCATGGGCAGTGATGCCATGTGCACCCACGTTCGCGAGCGGACACTGGTCATACATTCAGTGTGTGTGGCGCATGGTGCGCGTGATGATGTGCATGGTGCGTGTGTGATGATGTGCGTGATGCGTGTGTGGTGATGTGTATGGCGCCTTGCCAGAATATTGCAGAACAATGCACTGAGCGGATCCATTCCAGCCTCACTCGCATCGCTGCAGCAACTTAAAGCTCTGTAAGTATCAATTCTGCAACGTTGGGGTCCATGTTTCACATCACACCATGTTCATCCATGTTTCACATCACACCATGTTCATCCATGTTTCACATCACACCATGCTCATCCATGTTTCACATCACACCATGCTCATCCATGTTTCACATCACACCATGCTCATCCATGTTTCACATCACACCATGCTCATCCATGTTTCACATCACACCATGCTCATCCATGTTTCACATCACACCATGCTCATCCATGTTTCACACCATTCGCATCTCAGATTTCTTTCTGCCAACCATCTCTCGGGAAGCATACCTGCAGCGCTGGGCGATCTTCTTACCTTGCAGTATCTGTGAGTCACCACAGCCCATTGCTACAATGCTCCTATGTGGAGAAAGACGCGTCCAGCGTCCTGGACGCATGCGTCCAGACGCTGGACGCTAGTTTAGGGCCCCCGAGACGCAGCAAAAGACGCAGGTCCGGGCAGCCAAAAAAAACCCCGCGCAGCCAAAAAATAGTTATAGGGCAGAGGGAAGAGGGGGTAGAGGGGGGGGGGGGGGGGGGGGGGGTGGGAACACACTTTCATAGCAAAATTTCTCCTCAACAACAAAATTTCAGCCACAACAATAGAACATGAAGGTGAGCCCCAAATTTCCATAATCACAATTAGTCCAAAGGTTGTTTAGCATGCATGCATACTACCACTAACTAACATGCATCACTCATCCTCCTCGCTCTCCATCCCCCTCTCCTCCTCCTTCTCCAAATCCTCCTGCTCCTTGTACTCGTCGAAGGTGAGGTCATCCTCATCCACCTCCTCCTCTCCATCCTCCTCAAGCTTGTACCTCTCGGGAAGGGGTCGGGGGGGAATGTTCCCCTCCACTATTCCCGCCTTCCTGACTTCCCCACTCGGCCCCGCACCCGCCGCACCCTTGTGGTGGTTGTGCACAACGTTCCAGTTGTGCGCAACGAACACAAGGTCGCGGACCTTCTCCGAACCCAACCTGTTCCTTGCGCGCCGTGTGCACGCCATCCCACGTGGACCATCCGCGCTCGCATGGTGAAGCGGAGACGGGCTGTGAGAGCGCCCTGCACGCAAGGCCAGCCAGCTCCTGGTACTCCCAGCCGTTCACCTTCCACCACGTCACCATGTCCCCCTTCCCGGCCTTAATCTCCGCCCGCCCCTCTATTGCATCCTCAGACCCGAAGCACCCCTTCCCCTCAATGAACGCAAGCATCCCCTCCTGCAGCGCCTTCATCCTCCAGGGGTGAATTAGATGGCTGGTTTTGGGGGTCGAATTTGCTTGGGGGGTGTCGAATTTTGGCGAAATTGACATTCGCGACGAAATCGCGAATGTCAATTTCGCGATCGCGAAAAAAAAAAAAAAATCTCGGTCTGCCCAAAAAAAATTCCAGGGTGCGTCCTGCGTCCGGACGCGCGTCCTGCGTCTTTGCGTCCGGACGCTGCGTCCGGACGCTGCGTCCGGACGCAGGACGCAGGGCTGTCCTAGCGTCTTTCTCCACATAGCAATGCTCATCATCTTGCAATTAAGCTGCTGCCATGCCCATGCTTCCTCAAGAAGGTGATGCAAAGCGAACTCACCTACCATCTCAGGACCTGACTAAGTGTCAGCACAAAGCCAATCTTTCTGCTCCATTCGTCCGTTCACCCCATCCATCCTCTCGCACATTCCATCCTTTCACACATTCCATCCTTTCACACATTCCATCCATTCACACGTTCCATCCTTTCACACATTCCATCCTTTCACACGTTCCATCCTTTCACACATTCCATCCTTTCACCCACGAGTGTCCATGTGCTCGACCCTTTTGACTTGGCAGGATGCTGGGAATCAATCAGCTGTCTGGATCCATCCCAACAGCCATTGGGAAACTCACCAACCTGCTGAACCTGTGCGTACAGATAGGGCGCATCCAGATTACTCCAATCGACTAGACCAACACTGTAACCAACACTCTGCAGCACAAACAGCGCATTTCAGTGGTGTGTGCATGTGATGTGCATGCATCAAGCAGGGATCTCTTTGACAACCAGCTGCAGGGGACTCTCCCCAGCACCCTCCAGAGCCTCTCCAAGCTGAAATGGCTGTACGTATTTGAAAGGTGCTCTCTTTGACCAATGTCCCTGTCCATTGTCTCTGAGGACTGAATTGTCCTTCTGTGCTTCACAACAGAAGTGGTGGTTGCTTCATTTCACGTTTACTAATCGTTCCGTTCCATTTTGTACTTTGTAGGTCTCTCGAAATAGTATGTATGCTAGGACACTGGCTGCCCTACCTTGGGTTACTTACAGCTTGAATCTGGCCCATTCTTGCATAGAGAGGCTTCGTGGTTCTTGAGTGGTGGCATGCTTTGGAGCGAACAATCATCTCAGCTCAGTGTGGTGATAGCATGTGGCTCACGTGTGTCGATCCTTGCACCCTGCTCTCAGTTCGCTGGCATTCAACAAGCTGTCGGGCCCCGTGGATCCCATCATACGAGGCATGACAAACGTCACCACATTGTGGGTATCACCACACAACTGTACACTGGCCCTCTCTCACTCTCCACTCGTTCGTTTTCAAACCAAGCTTTCACGACAGGCTGCTCTGGTCTCAACATGCTTGGTCGCGTGCATCACTGTTGCTGTGGCAGGTTTCTGACGAAAAACCAGTTCTCTGGGCGCCTGCCCAGCCCGGCAGCAGCAGGCGTGCAAGATTACCTTGTTATCGACAATTTCTTCTCTCACGGGCAGGTCAAGTTCAGCAACTGCACTGCAGTCACGTGGAACACGTATTTAAACTGCCTCACGCCCTACATGGGCATCTGCGGCCTTGTCTACCCGCAGAGGTCTGCAGCAGCCTGTGCTGCGTTCTGTGGGCTGCAGATTGGTGCCACTGGGCCTCTGTGTGGGGGCCATGGCTACTGCTCTCTGAATCCCTTCACTGGAGCAGGGGAGTGTGTGTGCGATCCCAACTACATGCTCAACAGCAGCAACAGCAACTCATGTGTGCCGGGGGGTAAGCACGAGCACCTCCTTTCAACCAGACGCTCCTGCAAAGTTGTTGCCGCATTGATTTTTTTTTTATATATACAACTACACGATAGTATTGTTCCAACCATTCCTCTGCCCCCCACCCCCCCAGCTGCGCGCACATCGCTGGCATCTGGCTTGGCGTACGTCTCCCTTGCGGGCTCTGCCTCGCTGCTTTCCAACGGCTCCATTCTGCTCACCAGCGGCGCTGCCAGCCAGCAAGGCTCTGCCTTTGCATCGCCAGCGCTGCGCCTCTTCCACATTCCTGACAAGCGCTCTCCCTGCGGAACTGAGCTGGCCTTCCGAGTTGACTTCACCTTTGCCAAGTTCCCCGGGGATCAGGGGACGGGTGGGGAAGGGCTTGCATTTGTGGTGGCGGCAGCTGCTTCTGGCAAGGGGGCGAGTGTGGGGCTGGGAGGGGTGGGGAAGCGGAGTGTGGCGGTGGAGTTTGACTCGGTGCTGAGTGTGAAGCACAGCGACCCCAACGACAACCACGTGGGCGTCAATGTGGGCGGCTCACCTGTGTCCCTCGCCTCTGCCACGGCCCCTCTCATCCTCAACGACGCCCACACCAAGCACACCTGGATCCGCTACGACCCCACCAGCGGCGGCACCCTCCGAGTCTTCCTCTCCTCTGACCCCCAGCAGCCCCTCACCCCCACCCTCACAGCAAGCGTGTCTCTCTGCTCCGTGCTCAAGCCCACTGCATCCGACTCTCTCTTCCTCTTCGGCCTCGTCGCCCTCTCAGGCAGCCAGCCCCAACGACATGTCATTTTGTCCTGGAACTTCATCACAGGTATGCTGCTTTGCACCATACCCTGCTGCTTCTGTTTCAGGTTGTCCATTTCACGCATCCACTTGTTTTTCAAACGTTTTCTATGTTGCCTGGATTTTTCCTCCTCTTTGTGAGTAGGTGTTCCCTCTTCTCTGTAGGGCGGCAGTGAGCATTAACATCGCACCTTCACATCCTCCCACACACTGATACATACTTCGATCCTCTTTGGTTTTTTTTCGAGGTGAAAGTGCGGCTTATGGGTGCTTGTTACGTTAGCGTCTTGATTTGTGCAACTTTCATGGGCACCACGTATTCGCCCTGTTAGTGGACCCAGGGGTTTAATGTTGTCATCCCCTCAAAGTTGTTGTTCTCGTAAGGTTACCATTAACCCGAATTTGCCCTCAATATTACCAAATAACAAGGATCCTTCACAACCTATGAAGTACCGTATGGCCCCGGATAGTAGCGCATATGCGCTTATAAAAAAATCATTTTTTTAGGGGGGGCGCTTGTAATTGAGTAACGGCCATAAGCGCCGGCGCTTATATAATGAAAGATAAGAAATTAAATATTTAGAGCACCAAATTGTTCATTTTCTTCTTGCCATTTCAACCGAGTCGAAATGTTATAGCGTCGCAAAGCAGAATCTCGCGCAAGCGATATTCTGGGTTCACACAAAGGCAAAGACACGTCATGCCAGCACATCCTGACTGGACGCGAAGCCAGTCAGGTCTTCGCGAGTCAAACGAAGTGAAATTGAAATCTGACTCGCTGCAAAAATGAATTTCGTTACCGTTTTAAGCAAGAAATTAGATTAAAATTACACGTGCGCTTACAATATGTCAAGGTTTTCTAGGGGGGGCGCTTATAATCGAGGAACGGCCATAAGCGCCATGCTCCAGATAGAGGCGCCGGCGCCTTAAATCGGACGGCGCCTATATCCGGGGCCATACGGTACGCCAGGGTGTCTTGCAATATCAATCGTAAGTGAAGTCCTATATTTTTTTCCCATTTCGAATCAGTTTTCAAACATTATTACCGTATACTCCCGGACAAAACACCCCCCCATAATTGTACACCCCCGAGTAGCTTGTGCGGGGTGGGTGTTATGATAGACCTCGTTTCTACTATACCCCCCTTGTTGGCTGATTTTCTATAACACCCCCCTTTTCTTACAGATTCATTATTATAGTCGTTAACGAGTAGCTGCAATACGGAAGAATATCGTATGAATTTCTCCCCCAATGAAATTTCGCGGTACATTCAAAGGCAATCTGACGAGATTTGCCCCCTCCCACTATTTCTCTATTCCCACATACAGGTGAATCTTCCGTTGCAAGTGGCAAAAGATGTGCCACATGGCATTTTCGTGAGGGCGATGAAGTTCGAGGCCGAAACTCACATTCGCGCCTCAGGCAGTGATGCTAAAAGGACCAGCAAAACACCCACATTGACTAATTAAAAAAACACTAACACTAAAATATGCCATAGATAAAGACCCGGGTATTATGTATTTTTTTCCTATGAGGAGACCCCCCCCATTTTTTCCCTGTATTTTTAGCTATACCCTTGGGTGTTATGTCTAGGAGAATACGGTATCCTACCGCGTCGCTGTAGTGAAATTGTCACAGTACGGAATTGTGAACTTCACGTGACAGCTGGCCAACAACAGCAACACAGAGGCGGTGTTCGCCAGCATCTTTGAAAGCAAAAACGACGGAAAACGACGAGATCAGGAAGGTCAGTCTCGCCTTCTTGTTCCCGTAAGTTAGGGTTCGTTAAGCTCCGTCTGTCACAACATTATAGCTTATGCATCTGTGTAGGCTGTAGTGGGGTAGCCCATAAGGGGTACAACCCAATTAGGGTTAGTACTTGTACCCAACTGTTTCATAGTACAATCATTCTCGTTCTAATTTTCACATGGTATAGAGCAGGTTCCCTCGTGGGAACTGTTCCTAGGGCCCACCGATTCGATTTTTTTTTTTCTGCCCGGAGCGTGCTCAGTCCCTGCCCGAGCAGCTGCCGCGCCGCCTGATCCACCCGAGCCACCCGAGCCGCCTGAGCCGCCGAGTCGCCAAGCCGCCCGAGCCGCCGAGTTGCTGAGCCGCCGAGCCGCCCGAGCCGCCCAGTCTGGTAAGAGCAGCGCCTCTGTCACTGCACTGCCCTTACCCTACTGCTCGTGCTACTAGTCTACTGCTGTCATGGCTACCCCTAGTGTCCTCACTTTTGACGCTGAGGGTCGGGCCATTGACTTTGACGTCTGGGTAGATGACCTGCAGCTTTTCTTACAGTGCGATAGGGCAGACGGTCTCTCCCTCTTTGACCTCACCTCTGGTGCCTCTCCTGCCCCTGCTGCTGATGCCGACGCCACTGTTCGCTCACAGTGGGCCACACGCGATGCTGCTGCACGTCTTGCTGTGCGTCGCCACCTGCCTACCTCTGAGCGTGCGCACTATAGTCAGTACAAGAGTGCTCAGACCTTGTACGACGCTGTAGTTGCACGCTACTCCTCCCCTGCCACTGCTGCACTGAGCTGCCTCATGCTACCGTACCTCTTCCCTGACCTTGCTGCCTTTCCCACAGTCGCTGACCTCATTACGCACCTCTGCACTAGTGACACTCGCTACCGCGCTGCGCTTCCTACTGAGTTCTGCGCCAAGAACCCCCCCCCCCCCCCCCCCCCCCCCATATACATCATCCTCTACTACATAGTCACCCGGCTCCCTGACTCCCTTCGCGTAGTCAGGGACCACTTCCTCTCGGTTTGCCCCACCACTCTCACCGTTGACCTCCTCGAGAAGGCCCTCCTAGCAGCAGAGAAGAGCATAGTAGCTCAAGGAGCCTCTCGTGGTGACCCTCGCACCCCAATCTTTGAGGGGTGTTCCCCCTCCCCCCTTTTACCCTCTGTTGCCTCTGCTGCTGCGGCCGACCTCGTTGGGTTTGAGTCGGTCGGTGCAGCGTCTACCCCTAGCGGGAGACGCCGCCCTGGCAAGGGCAAGGGGGGCAGGGGCGCTGGAGGAGCTAGCGGGGGTGGTGGAGGAGGCGGTGGAGGCGGCGGAGGGGGTGGGGGTGGCGGTGGGGGTGGTGGCGGGGGTGCAGGTGTCGGTGGCGGCAGTGGAGGCGGCGGCGGCGGCGGCGGTGGCAATGGGAGCGGAGGTGGCGGAGGTGGCGGCGGTGGAGGAGGCGGTGGCGGAGGAGGTGGAGCTGGTTGGGGTGGCGCTGCGTAGAGGGTCGGCTCCGGTGGTGGTCAGCGCCAGCAGCAGCAACAGCAACGCACTCGTGACATCCCCCCCCCCTCAGCAGCTCCGTGAGTGGTACGCTGCACGCCAGCGGGGTGGGGGTACTGGTCCGTGCACCTACGTCCTACGCGCCGGCGACCGCGCGGGTGAGCAGTGCGGGGGTGCGCACTCCACCCAGCGCTGCTTTGGCCGCTTGACGGACGCTTGGCGTCACCAAATCCCGGAGGCCAGTGAGATCCCCCGCTGGGGCGAGCTGTCTAGGGCAGGATTAGCTGTCTTTGACCTTGACTTTGATGCTATTCTTGCTGCCATGAATGCTGTGACAATTAGTGATGAGGGTGACTGTTACCGGTGTTTTCCGCCCGACCCGGGCATTGAGACTGCTGCTCTAGGTACTGGTGAGGCTGCTGCTCTAGGTGCTAGCGAGGCTGCTGCTCTAGGTGCTAGTGCGTCTGCTTCCTCAGGTGCTGGTGAGTCTGCGTTTTAGGTACCGCGTCGGCTTCGGCCTCCCACACCTTCACCCTTGACTCGGGGGCTTCCCGCTCCTTCTTTCGAGACCGCACCACACTCACGCCGCTTGGTCGGCCAGTTGCAGTCTCTCTGGCAGACCCCTCTGGGGGTTCTGTCCTTGCTTACTTCTCCACTGTCCTCCCGTGTCCGGCGGCCCCCTCTAGCACCCTGTCTGGTCTTTACCTCCCCTCGTTCTCTACGAACTTGGTGAGTGGTGCTGACCTACAGGATGCGGGGGTTCACCAGTTCACTCCTGCGAGTCTGCGGGTGACCCACTGCACGGACGCTCGGACAGGCCGACACCTTGCCACGTTTACACGTCGGCCGGAGTCGAGCCTGTACACACTGACCACTGCGTCTCCTCCAGTCACTGCGTCTGGTCAGGTAGCTTCGTCGGGTCAGGTGTTTGCTGCAGTGTCCAGGTCTGGTCGTGAGTCTGCCCCCTGCTCGTATCGCCTCCTGTCTCACAAGACTCTCCTCTGGCACCACCGCCTTGGTCACCCCTCCCTGCCTCGTCTCCGAGGCATGGCCTCCCGTGTCCTTGTCTCTGGTCTTCCCCGGTCCCTCCCTCCCCTTCCTCCGGGGCCTGGCCCTACCTGCGTCCCCTGTGTCGAGGGGCGGCAGCGGGCTGCCCCTCACTCCTCCCAGTTTCCTGCGACAGAGGCCCCGCTGCAGACGCTTCACATGGACGTGTGGGGCCCGGCCCGCGTCCGTGGACAGGGTCACGAGCGCTACTTCTTGCTGGTGGTTGACGACTACTCGCGTTACACCACAGTCTTCCCCTTGCGCAGCAAGGGTGATGTCACTGAGGTGTTGATCGACTGGATCCGCGCAGCTCGTCTCCAGCTTAGGCAGAGCTTCGGCTCGGACTTTCCTGTTCTGCGTCTGCACTCTGACAGAGGCGGAGAGTTCTCCTCTGGCCTTCTGCGAGCCTACTGTCGTGCACGAGGCATCCTCCAGACCTTCACGCTTCCGGACTCTCCACAGCAAAATGGGATTGCTGAGCACCGCATTTGCATGGTCATGGACGTTGCCCGTACGTCCATGATGCATGCGGCTGCCCCCCATTTTCTATGGCCGTTTGCGGTTCGGTACGCGACGCATCAGATCAACCTTCACCCCAGGGTCTCCATGCCGGAGACCTCCCCAGCTTTGCTGTGGACGGGGAAGGTTGGCGATGCGTCTGCGTTCTGTGTCTGGGGATCTCGGGCGTTTGTCCGCGACCTGTCTACGGACAAGCTGTCCCCTCATGCTTCTCCTTGCGTCTTCCTTGGCTTCCCCCCTGACGCGCCAGGGTGGCAGTTCTACCACCCCACCTCTCGCCGTGTTCTGTCCTCCAAGGACGTCACGTTTGACGAGTCGGTCCCCTACTACCGCCTCTTCCCCTACCGCACTCCGGCCCTTCCCCC